GGGGCCCCTGTATTTTAACAGCCTCACTTGACCAGGGAAAAAATCAAATGAATTTAAACTTACAATAGTTTTACATACATACATGTATATTTAAATAACCAATACAATCGATTTTACCTGTTAAGCATCACTGTAATACATAATCACTATCGTATATCCGGTTCACTGACTAACATGTGTTTATTTAAACTTGAAAACTATATATTTGATTGAGAAAATTTGAATTGGAAATTATTGATGTGATTGAACAAAAATTGAAATTATTCTGTAATATATAAGTATGGATTATAAAAGGATAAAGCACATGTGGTAAGTACTAATGTATTAAGAAGCATGATATATGTGGTAATTTACTAATATACATAAAATGCACAGACATAGATTCAAATATCGATTACAATACAAATATTTCTTTCTGTAAAAATAACTTATTGTTCACTACGTTCTTTCTAAAATACAATTAGATTATTATATATGGAATCGAACACACCTTTAGTTTAGAGCAGTAGAACTAAGTATATCTTCTTATATTTTTTCGATAAAGAGTTCAATTTTTGATCTGCATATATACTTTATATCCGAGCGTAGCAATAGTAGTTTTAATTCGTTTTTCATTTGCAATTTCAACAGGCTTTGTATAGACTGCATATTCAGTTTAATTTTATCGAATTTGCATTTATTACGTTTTTTCCAAATAGCCCATTTAAAATAAAGTATTATTGCATTAACAATTATATTATTCGAATTATCTGTACAGATTCCTATTAGAATATCTTTTTCAACGAGCATCTCGTTATTTATTAGGTTACAAAGTTGTAAATTTCTGACAACTGTTTCTATCAATGGTTTAACATTATTACATTGATAAAATAAATGCTCGAGTGTTTCAATATTATTATTTTCATCACATAAGTGACATTTTCCATTTGACATATGCATTATTTGCAGTCTCTTTTCGGTATATATAATCCTGTGTATACATTTCCATTGAAATTCTTTAATTTTTCTATTAATATCCATTTTACTGAGATTTAGCCAAATTTTTTCCCAATTTATTTACTCGCTTTACAAATTTTCCCATTTTGTTTGACACTTAGGGGTCTCAGTTATGTTTATGTTTAACCCTTATTTAATCATGATTTTACGAAATGGCAAGAAAACATTATACACCAATACTTCAAGGATATTCACGTGCTAAAAAACACCTCATTCCAAATATAAATTCCACCGCCGTCAATCGAAATTCCCCTTCTAAATTTAGCACTTTTTACAACTGTGTCAAAGGTGGCAATGCTGCTGCAGCCAGATTATTAAATAAAAATGCACGTGGATATCCACAAATATTCCCGTGCAATGCCAGAAAATGACTAACTTGATCTAGATTAGCTTCTGATAATACTGTTAGGTCAACAGTGAACGGGAGAGCTTTTTCGTTTTCCTTTTCCTGTGACATTACATGAAAATCTCAAAGCCTTATTTATCTGGTTACTTGAACAAAGCCAAAGTGTGGTAAACAATATGTAGGACAACCCGGACGGGAAATTTTTTAAACGAACACAGGAACAACTATACCGCTTCCGGAAACCTAAGAAATTCAAAAGTATAATTTACCAACATTTAGGTAAACACAACGACAATATCAAATTTATAAGATTCCAACCGCTCGAAACGATCCAAAAACAACAAGAGCAATCGCATAAACAATTTGAAGATTCCCGTAAAATTATCCAACTGTCTTGGATTAAACGACTTCAGACAGCTTATCCCCTGGGTCTTAATGACAATATACTTTGACAAGGGAACATATCTACAACTTCTTCTATTGATATCATGAATATTGTTGATAAAAGACAACGTAATAATAGGTCTCATGGCAAACGTATCAATCGAAATCAACGAATTAAACATCGTATAAATTATACACTTGATAATTTCCTATCTATATTTAAAAACAATGGTAGGCATCAACTGTTATGTAAACTGGGTCAAATACCAATTAGTAAATCACATGATATTTTCCAGGAGTGTGACACAATGTCTTTTTTCAGCCCACTCTATGAATATTCGCGTATAATTACAGCTTTTTGACACCATCGATAAACCTGAAGATCATAAACGGCACTTTCTGAAAATTAAATGTATTGATTTTATCCACTTATCGAGTATATTTAATGACTCTACCGTTCAAAACTTTATACCTCCCTATTTTGATAACACAGAACCACCCATTATTTCGTACACATACAAAAAACCCAGCAAAAGTTTAATTTTTAATTATACGTCAGTAACATCAGACGTCAATTTAGAAAATGATACTCCTCTAACTTGAAACTGTGAATCGTCGAAGTTTAGATATGATCCTTATGGCCATGTTATTACGGGGGACCTCAATATCGCCTAAGGCAGAGAGGTTAAACACTTTTTAAAAAAAAGGACCAAAATATCGTCCTCCATCTAAAATAGATTGGAAACAGTGTCGTCAGGTCACAAAAGACGCTCTTTCCTCGTATTGTAAAAATTGGTGTAAACGGGAAAAATCTGATAAAAAATCTCTTGATTCTTATTTAAATAAATGTATGAATGTTGTGGATATTCGTATACCACATTTTGAAAATAATTAAAAAATAAATAAAAGAGTACATAATACGGCTTTTTCTAGAATAAGAAATAAACTTAAAGAACTTTCAAAACGGTCTGTGTTTGTACCGGCCGACAAAGCACCAAACAATGTGGTGGTGGTATGCTGTAAATACTACACAGACGTTCTTAAGAATGAAATTTTAAATCCATCTATATTCAAGTCTGTACGCTCCACAGAGAGTCATATAGTAAACAAACATATCATAACCACATCACAGATTAAAGCATCTTCTGAACATTTGAAGGTCCCTACTATGTATTTGTTACCTAAACTACACAAAAAAAAAAAACAGTAAACAGAAAATATCGTTTCATCTCGGCCTCTAGTAAGTGTTTTACAACTAATCTGTCAGTGCTTTTAACTACTTCCTTAACTACTATCAAAGAATTATTATTAACTTTTGTAATAAAATATATGAAAATAGTGGAATTAACTATTTTTAGAGTGTAAAAAATTCTTTGGATGTTTTAAATATAAACTACGTGCTTTTCATGGTCCTTTTGATTCTGTTGACAGTTTTGACTTTTCAGCTTTTTACACTACACTTCCACACAGTCTTATCAAAGAAAAGTTTTCCTATTTAATTAAATGGTCGTTTGGTAAATCTGAATGCAAATATATTTGCTGCAACTCATTTAAAGCCTTCTTCTCTAATGAGAAAGGTAAATATGCTAGATATACTTACTGGAGGTGTAATGAGATGATTGAAGCTGTTAATTTTCTCCTTGATAATTTTTATGTACGTTTCGGCAACAAAGTTTATCGACAGGTTGTAGGTATTCCTATTGGCACTAATTTGCACCCTTTTAATAGCAGACTTGTTTTTGTAAATTGCATTTAATTGAAATATTCAACAACACTTACCGTTATATTGATGATATTTTTTCGTTAAATAACCAAGAATTTACTGAATATACTGCCGAAATCTACCCAAAGGAACTTACTTTAAATAAATCAAATGTAAACGGTAATAACTGTCCTTTCCTAGATTTAGATATTTCAGTTTTACACGGGAATATCCACACTAAAATTTACGACAAAAGGGACGATTTTTCGTTCCCTATTGTTAATTTTCCTTTTTTTGGATGGTGATGTTCTTTTGGCACCATCTTACGGTGTTTATATATCACAACTCTTTCGCTATGCCCGTGTCTGTTGTGACGTTTTCGATTTTGATGAACGTAATCTATGTATTACTGGTAAATTATTAAGTCAGGGATTTCGTTACCACTAATTCTTAAAATTTTACTAAATTCTTTCATAGATATAAAGATTTGGTTTTGAAGTTTGGTTGTACCTGTAGAAAACTTATTTCAAACGGGATAGCACATCCTCATTATTACGGAGATGTTGTTTACCGTGCCCGGAAATTTAGAAACGATCCTGGTAAACTTATCGATCCTTTAAATAAACTTATTCTAAATGGTTACCAATTCAACACTGTAATTAGATCTTTGAATATTGTTTTTATTGGTATTGATATTGATTTTGTTATCAGTAAATTAAAAGCAAACTAAATATTATTTTTATATACATATGCACATTCATGGATCTAGAATCTGTCGGTACCTGTATCTTGGCATCCATTGGATGTTGGATGTGTAATGATTGATAATTTAGTCTTAGATGCATGATTTTCTTTTATTAGTTGTTATTTGCTTTGAACTAGCTGTCAGTAACTGCGAGTACTCTCAGGATAAAATTCGAATATCACGGCCGAGGCCATGTGTAAATTTCCAACAAATCTATGGCTTCCATGACTTATTTCTTAATTAAATTTCAATTCAAAGTAATAAACTATGACGTCTTGTACATAACAGCCATCAGTATTTAATAAAGCGCACACTTGATCAAGCGTCTCTGTGAAGGGTAATAGAGTATTTACCATAGGATAGAGTAAATTGTCTCCCTCGTATTAACCAATCAAAATCTGGCATTTTGATATAAAGGTATAATAAATGCATTTGTAAGGCGCAAAGAAGGAACAAAGTAATTATATTAAATTTCGGTAAACAGGAGATCACTCAAATGAGAAATATCTTCCTTGGCCAATATTACAAATGTGTTATACGTATCTCTACAAGTCCAATACTCCGAACGCCTATATAAGACTTAAAATCTTTACATACATACACAAAGATGCAACACAATTAAAATGCATTATTAACCATATTATTGATCAATTTGTTTTTCATTACAAAAAATGCAGATTTAAAGTCCTTTTTTCCATTTCATTCAATGTCATAATATCTGTCTTTCTAATATCTTTCATGATTTTTAACGTTTTATTCTTTTTTTTTTAAATAACGTGATATGAATTATCATGTATATGTAAATGACCATCTTTCTATTTTTCTAGTTTATGTAGCTGACTTTGAAAACAGCCTTGACTCAATGTTTATTCAAGACCTTGATGACGATTACAACTGGAAAGTACATTCGGTAATATATGTAACTTTCAAATTTCAAAAGTGCCAAATAAGATGCGGACTTATAGTAAAAAAAATGGTGGTAGTAACAGTGGTTTTAATTGGCGTAATTTTGGTTTCAAAAATATACATGCATCCGATTGAAGCTTTGTTTAAAAATATCTAATAATGCAAAAATACACTTGTTTTACATGTAAGTCATTTGATATATTTTCGAATCAGATCTTGAGAAAAAAAAAACACATTGAATTGCCTTAGAATTTGGTCATTAGTGGTTATTTGTGGCCAAATTTTTACATGTTTCTTAAGGCCAACGGCTAAAATAGAAGGGAAGCATTGCTTTAGTGCGATGAATTAATATTCTAAGTTTTTTTTTATACAGTTTTAAATTATATTAACTTGTTGTTGCATTTACAAGAATGAATGATACGTTATTTGTGTCAAAATATTTTTTCATACAAATTATTTGCAGAAACAAAATGAGATTTTATAAACTAATAATTATCGAACGCAAATAATGAAACGAGTTTGAGCGTTATTTCCATGTGAAGATAATATAGAGTCAATTATGTTTTGTTCTCATTATCGGCACATTAGCCTCTTGAAACCACGAGAGTGCAGAAATCTACGTTTATTGTGCTGTTGGATTGCTATCTCACATTATCAATAGTAATTATGCGAAATGTTTTTAGCAATCATTTATGGAATATTTGTTCCGCAGAACACGTCTCTTGTATTGTTGAGTTGTTGTCTTATTTCATTTAAATGATTTTAAGCTCGTATTTGCTGAGAAGAGTTTACGTTTATTTTCAATAATATATTGTAAGTATATTTGTTCTGCAGAACGCAACACTAAGTACTAGTACTGGTCCTTCCACAGCTTATAAAGGCAATTACTACTTATATTTTGAGACATCGTCACCTGTGAAGGAGGGATCTACTGCAAGATTAGTATCACGAGACTTCATGTTTGGTAAAAGTATTGCATTTTTTTGTCGGTTTCTCACTCAAACTAATGATCTTGAAATTAAATTTCCACCTGAAATATGTTTTTCAATAAAATGGAACAATTGTAATTTGTTTATGTGATTTTTTTTTAAAAACGCAATAATAAAAGAGAGGGGCAAAAATAAATATAGTATGTACTTGAAAATATTCAGTCTATATATCAAAAAGACCCAAAGTTGTAAAGGAGAAGGCATTCCTTTAGTTACGGAAAAACTGCTTAAATTATCTCATTTTGATATCCTAAAAATATACTTAAAAAAGTTGAAAAAAAAGTACTTTGCCACAAACTGTCTTAAATTATAAATACAAAAATGTTGTCTTCAGTAAGGCTATTTGATTGAGGGTCCTCGGTGACCGAGTGGGTTACGTAGGTAGTGAACCACTGTATCACTATCCTGTCAACACTGAGGTTGTGAGTTCGAATCTCGCATGGGGCGGGTGCACTCGACTCCAATCTTAATTGATTAGGACTATCAGTTTTCCTCCCGAAGGTCGGTGGTTTTCTCCGGGCACTCCGGCTCCCTCGCCAATAAAAACTGACCGCCACGAAATAACACAAAAGTGTTGAAAGTGGCGTTAAACAATAACCAATCATATTTGATTCACTAAATAATTCGTTTTCGATAATTCAATAATGATATGTTTATGACGTTTATACACCTAATTGACTAAACTAAATATTCCCTTTGTCAATTAAAAAACATAACTTTGAAAAAGCAAAGAAGTTTAGTTTTTTTCAAAAACAGGCGCTTACAAATAGATTTTATCGAACCTACTTTTTTGGGAAGATTTAGGAGAAACCTAACATGAAAGATATTTTTCGGTTAAAGCATATAGTCGTTCAGGAAGTCTTCTTTTTTAAATTAAAAGAGTTACATATTCCAATGAGACTCCATCATACTTAAAAATCACTGACAATAACTTACACTGCTCTTTATATTAAACTATAATCATTTTTGAGTGCTTTTTTGAAAACATTTATCAATTAAGATCGTTTGATAACTAAAGGTTTAAATTGTAGAATCCTCTGGATGCCTAAAATTTCATTACCACATGCATGGATCTTCAATGGGAACTTTAAATGTATATCTAGGAAGCAGACAAATTTGGAGGAAAACTGGAAATCAAGGAAATAAATGGACACTTGCAAAACTTGACCTACAATCTAACAGTTTCAATAGCTCAAAGGTATGCAGTAATTCAAAAATAGGAATACAGAAAAATGGGTTGTATAAAACCAATCGACATATATGCTAACATATATGTAAGGAGCTGTGGTATGATTGCCAATGAGACAACTATCAACCACAGCTCAAATGAAGTGGATGTAAGCAATTATAGGCAACCGTTTAGCCTTCAACAATGGGAAAAAACCATACCGTATAGTCGAATATAAAAGGCCCCGACATGAAAAATATGAAACAATTCAATTGAGAAAACTAACAGCCTTATTTATAAAAAAAAAAACAGTTTACGAGAAACAAATATGACAGACATGAACCAATGACAACCACTGACCTACATGCTCCTGACTAGGGACAGACAAAGGCGGGATTAAACATGTTTGTGAGCGCTCAACCCTCCACCTAACCTGGGACAGTGGTGTAACAGCAAATCATAAGAACAAACTATAAAAATCAGTTGAAAAAGGTTTAACTCATCAGATCGATACAAAACAGAAAAAAACAACATCAAGCAAAAACACTGACCGGACGTGGTAGGGTATCTATCCATCCCTCATCCCTAACCAAAAAAAAAAACAAAAAAAAAAACACCAAGTACAGATCTGAGTGTACTCGCAGTAACTGACAGCTAGTTCAAAACCAATAACAACTAATAATAAAAATAACGTATCTAAGCTTAAATATCAATCAGTACATATCCAACATCCAATGGATTTAGTGTAAAGACAAAAAACATGATCTTATGCAATGCCAAAATATAGGTATCGACAGAGTGTAGCACCGTGAAATGTGTATACCAATAATATTTAGTGATGTTTAATTTACTGATAACAAAATCAATATTTATACCAATAAAAACAATATTTAAAGATTTAATTTAGTAAACTTTAATGTTTTAAGTAATTTGTGGTAACGAAATCCATGACTTAATAATTTACTAGTAATACCTAGATTACACCCATTGAAATCCAAAACGTCACTACAGACACGGGCATAGCGAACGAGTTGGGATATATAAACAACGTAAGACTGTGCCAAAGGAACATCACAGTTCAAAAAAGGAAAATTAACAATAGGGAAAGAAAAATCATCCCTTTTGTCGTAAATTTTTGTGTAGAGTTTCTGGTGTAACACTGAAATATCTAAATCTAGGAAAGGATAGTTATTGCTGTTGATATTTGATTTGTTTAAAGTAAATTCCTTTGGGTAAATTTCAGCAGTATATTTAGAGAATTCTCGATTATTCAACAACAAAATATCATCAAAATTACGTTTAGTGTTGTTGAATTTATCAATTAAATGAAGTTTAGACTGTCCCTCTGGTATCTTTCGTCCCTCTTTTAGACTGTTCTTTACTGATTTTGGCAATAAACTGTGATTCATAGCAGTACAGGAATAAGTCTGCTATTAAAGGGGCACAATTGGTGGCCTACAACCTGTTGATAAACTTTATTGCCGAAACGTACATTAATGTTGTCAAGGAGAACATTAACGACTTCAATCATATCATCACACCTCCAGTAAGTATATCTAGCATATTCACCTTTCTCATTTGAGAAAAAGGCTTTATATGAGTTGCAGCAAATACATTTGCAATCAGATTTATCAAACGACCATTTAATTAAATAGGAAATTTTTTTTTGATAAGATTGTGTGAAAGTCTAGTATAAAGAGTTGGAAATTCAAAACTGTCAACCGAATCAAAACGCCCATCAAAAGCACGTAATTTATCTAAAACATCCAAAGAATTGTTTACACTCCAAAATGGTTCATTTCACAATTCTCATATGTTTTATTACAAAAATTAATGATAAGTTCTATAATAGTAGTTAAGGAACTCGTTGAAAGCACCCAAAGATTAGTAGAGAATACTTACTAGAGGCCGAGATGAAACAATATTTTACGGGTGTTTTGTGAGTTTAGGAAACCAATACATAGTGGTAACCTTCAAATGATCAGAGGAGGCCTTAAGCTGAGCTGTGGTAGTATTTACTGCGCGACTCTCTGTGGAGCGTACGGCCTTGAATGTAGTTGAATGTATATTTTCATTCTTAAGGACTTCCATGTAGTATTTACGTCATACCACCACCACATTGTTGTCTGCTTTGTCGGCCGGTACGAACACAAAACGCTTTGCGAGTACTTTATTTGTTTTTCAATCCTAGAAATGGGCGTATTTCTTACCCTTGTATTTATTTCTAAATTTATTTCTAAATAGGAATCAAGTGACTGTTTGTCTGATTTCTCCTGTTTACACCATTCTGTACAATAGGATGAAAGAGCATTTTTAATAACCTGACGACACTCTTTCCAATTTATTTTCGACGGTGGACGATCTTTTAGTTCTTTTTTCAGAAAGTTTATAACCTCTTGGTCTTAAATGATGTTGAGGTCCCCTGTAAATACATGGCCATATGGATCATATCTAAACTCCGATGTTTCACAGTCTCATGTTGAAGGAGCATTATTTTCTATACTTACGTCTGATGTATCTGACGTATAATTAAAAATAAACTTCGACTGGATTTATTATATAAATAAGAAATTGTAGGTGGCTCAATGTTATCAAAATATGGAGGTATAAAGTTTTGAACGGTAGAGTAATGAAAAATACTAGACAAATTAATAACATCAATACCTCTATAAATGTATTTTAATTTTAGAAAATACTTTTTATGATCTTCAGATTTGTCAATTTGAGGGACAAAAAGCTGTAATAATACGTGTACACTCATATTTTGGAATGAAAAACGATATTGTATCACACTCGTTATAAATATTATGTAATTTACTCATTGGCATTTGACCCAGTTTGTATAATTATTAATGTACACTATTCATACAAGGTTCCAAACTGCACTTGAACCCTATCTTTATTAATTAAAAGATGTCACATGATATGTTTTCTACTAAAAGAGAGGCGAAATATACCAAAGGGACACTCAAACTCATAAGTCGAAAATAAACTGAAAACGCCATGGCTTAAAAAGAAATAACCAACAGGCAAACACCAGTACAAAAAACACAACATAGAAAACTAAAGACTGAGCAACACGAGTCCCACCATCAATATTCATTTTTGGACAGATAAATCAATGATAAATCTTAATAAATATGATATTCAAACAATGACACAGTGGCATAGCCTTGCATACATTGAAGTATCTGATTCATATGCTATCCATAGGGAAAGGGCAATTTGTATGTGTTATGTCTGGGCGGAGATAGTTCTATTCTTGACAGCTTACCTAACAGTTTGTTTATAAAAATATCTTGAAATCTATCAAAAGGTCTATTTACTCTCCAAAGCATCATACGTTTGAAGGTTCGTTAATAATATGGTTAGCACGAATTTTCACAGTATGTGGTATAATAATAAATGTTTTAGAAGTTGTGTCACTTTATTTCAAATGTACTTACATCACATCTTCTTATCTATATATTATGTAAGAGAAAACATGTGGAATATATGTCAATCAGACAACAATCCAACGACACAACACACAAAAAGACATTTAGATATCACCAAACGAGCTTTTATGACAAACAAGACTAATTGTCTATACAATATATGGATAATATAGGGACCGGAAGCATAATCAGAAAAATCATATCCTTTAGTAAAAGGTTATATCTCAGAACATAACATCAAGTCAAAACTACATGAGAAAATCTAATGGAATATATCATCTCAAGAACTAAAACTATAATTATTTCTTCAGATATATTTTGAAGCTGTTTGTGGAACAAGTCACACAAGTGATATCGCTATAGATGACGTTGAAGTACATCCATCAAGATGCTGATATTCTTGAATTACGCAGAATATTTCCTTGAATTTATGAGACATGATTGGTAACGAGGAACTTCATATGTGTCACAAACATGTGTTTTTAGCGAGACTTCCTTTTTTGTAAATAAATTTTGAAAAATTGTGAATATATGGCAACAATACAAATTTTAAAGACCAATAAATACGATCCTATATCGGAGTATTTTAAATGTAAGTGACTTATAACAAATCAAAATTAAACATCAGCATTTTTATCGACTGATTAGTTTCAATCAAATTGAATTTATGAGATCAGAGTTTCAGAAAAATCGATAGAATCTTTTCCTCGATATGCATAAAATAAATGACTAAACCGAATTATTATGTGCCAGGTTGAAATTGTAGATAAACCAGAGTTTTGTATTCATGGTATTGTTAATTGTATGGTGGCTTCTTTAAATTTGTTTGCGTCTTCGCCTTTTATTTTCTTCTTTCAAAATTTGTATTGAATGAAGATTATGACACAACATCACGAAATCAGACAATCCCAATATATAAAGCATAAGCGTAAACAGGTTGATAAACACTTGTATCTCGGGAGCTTACTTTAGTAGATTGATAAGGTCATCATTGTTAAACAAATCTATGTTAATTGTTTTGATGAACTGTAACGGACTGTCCAAATGACCGTTACATTTTATGTATTTTGCCGCTTATGTTTTCATTGAATATTCTTTCATATGTTTTTTTTTACGTATTGCTTGTCCCTAAAGTTGAATTTTGTGGCGTCAAGATGTGAAACACACTTCTATGTGTTTGTGAGAATGTTGAAGGCCTTCAGGAGATGGATATAAAAATATAAGAATGTCGATATGGAAGAGAAAAGATTGTAAAGGACATTTATCATAGACACAATAAAATGATGATATTGAATGTATATAAAATGACATTGTACATAATAAATTTGTATATATATGAACATGATGAACTTGATATAATATAAACCAGTGCCTAGAAAAAGCCCCATGACACACACAATAGAGACTTCACAATAAGAAAAATGTCAAAATTCTTCAACGAATGAATACCGTAAAATGTCGTTACTGTGCACATCAAAACAAACAAAGAAACAAAGACGAACTCTTAACAAAGAAAAATATTGTGGAAAAAAGTTTTGGTGGCCTTGGGCTGTTTTCTGCTCTTTTGTCGGGTTGTTGTCTCTTTGACACAATCCCCCTTTCCATTCTCAACTTTATAAATCAAATACATCAAAAGTTGACATGAACCGATATGAAATAACCTTCTTAAATGTATTCTTACTTATTATCATTATTATTATAAGTAGTATTAAAGGAGGAAGTAGTAGAAAAATAAAATATTTGAATAAGCTTTGGAAAACAAAATACTTGTTTTTGCTGAAAAAAAAAAGATCTTCACTAAAAGACAGAAATGTATGTCTTTAAATAATCTTATATCCATTATCTAAGTTTATATAAAAATAAAGCGATGTGGTTTGATTTCAAATAAGACTAATATCTACCAGAGACCAAATTAAACGAAAGTAGTCAACTATAATTCATTGAGCTGATTTGAGTTATTTATGGCAGCCAAACAAGACATTCATTGGCAAATTGTCTTTGAACTGTTCCCAAAAATTTTGAATTACAATGGTTATAATATTAGACTACATTTCGTAAAGAATAAATAATTAAAGCCTTTGTTATAACCAATAAACTATGAACAGTAATTTTTTTTTTAGATCCTAAATTTTGTAGGAAATTAATTTTATCCCATAGGATATATTAAAAATATCCTACGGGATTATGTCTTTATCCTATAGGATTTCTAAAAATCTTATAGAAAATAATATCCTATAGGATATTGACACGGATTTCACTCGTTATGCCGAACCAAGCGAGCTTTATCAAAAAAAAAAATTTAAATTGTTTAACCTATCCGCAGAGGTATATTATTGCCAAGTTTGATGATTCTACCTTAAAAAAGAATGTGGTTCCAATTTGCACTCATGATCCGAGAAACTGTTTTCTTATTTCTTTGTATTTATTCTGAAGTGATGTTTATCTATTTGCCAAATTGTCTTTGAATTGATTTGCAAACCACTACAGAATGCCCACCGACCTTTCAACACAATGAAGGATTTTATCGCTGTCAGAACATTCAGAAATCTGAAAGCAACACTACAAATTAGTACAGCTACCACTAGTAATATGTCGTAAATATATGCAACGAGGATAGGCGAAGTCGTGTAACAATCTCGGAAGCATTCCGTTAAAAGCTGTACAATAGCACTGAGCCCGATGATGTCAACGTTGGAATGGCACAAACATAGAAATAATGAAGATAAATATCACGAATCGCATCCGTCCATTATATTTCAAGAGCTGATCTTCCTACATAATTTAAATATACCATCGAATAAATTCGTCATTACCAAATACAGTTTGGAAAGCTGACCATCTTTCCTTTTAATTTTGAGTCCACAAACAAATGTAGCAATGCCGTTTCCGATTACACATAGCACAAATATATTCCAAGTAGAGAATTTGATAAATGTATAGCCCGCTAAATGGCTATGCCACTCTGAGGTATTGATAAAACTTGTTTGGATTTGCGGTTTGAATAAAATATTTGCATCGACATCTTGTCAGTTATATTTTTCTATAAACAAATGTATTGCCAATGAAAGCAAACAGTCATAATTTGTGTGTTTGAAAATTTTAACATGCAATGTACTTGTTGAATGTTTACTTAGTGTTAAGAATTTTCATTTAGCAAACTAAAATACCTTAATATGATAGTTGCATGAGTAGTTATCGGTAAAAAAAACTAGGAAATAATTCATTATATGTATATATATAATAAAACTTTTTCGAATCAATGTGTGATTATGACTGTTTTTTGAGACATGTCAATGTACATAGCAATTGGTTTATTGCACAAATTAGTTTGAATATTTACAATATTTCTTTGGTTTTAATTGCAAAAATTAGTTTAAATATTCACAATATTTTTTTGGTTTTAAATGCAAAAATTAGTTTAAATATTTACAATATTTCTTTGCTTTTAAAACCACAATGAAAAGCAGATTAATAACAAACACATTGCATTGCAAAATTGTCAATAGAATATCTTTTCTTGAAATCATAAATAAAAGAACAAGGCAAACTTACACACAAAAATAAAAAAAATGTAAAAGAAATATTGCATATATGATATTTTATGAGTATTAGATCTTGAACATAATTATGTTTGCAAGGACTGTTAGGTCTGCGCAATACTATGCAGATCCTTGTTAATTTCTTTTAAGATTAATATGATATATTTCATAATAAGTGTGCATTTATCTATTAAACGTACATATTAAAAATACTGCGGGTTTAAGTATATCGTGTAACGACCGCTTGTTTTAAAAAAGTTTTTGTCTTTTGTTGGGTAATGTATGACAAATATATGTTGAAAAACCTCGCCCGTGGTTATAAATTATGTAATTCATTGACCGCTCCCGATTTGTGTTACTTCAAGGCATATTTTAGCGGCGATCGATGTCTTTCAAAATTACTGCACTTTTCTTGTATCCCTGGTGCTTTCGACTGGAGAACCGTCGCACACAAGCATCGCACAAGTTGGCACTCCGAGGCGGGTGGGGAGCAAGAAGGTGAACTGTGGTTTATTCTTATCAATAGTACCGCTTAAGTCGACGCTAGGGGCCGTCTTGACCTTGTTGTAGGGTATGAATGATTCGTTCATTGTTGAAGACCCTACATCAACTGTCAAGATGAAGAACAGGAATAAAAGCCCTGTTCCTTGATAATTTTCTATGTTTTCTATGTATTTTGTGCGATTTTGTCCCATGTACATCTACTCCATATCCTTTCATTTTCTATTGATTAATGAAAGTTTAAAAAAAAAACTAATGGCATGTTCAAACGAAAAAAACAACAGAACCACAACCAACTGTCCACACAGCAGTTCATAGAAAATTAAAGAATACAAACCACACTAAGAAACTACATCTCCAATCTTACAACTAAACCTCACAGATGAAAAATCTTAATTTTATGCAGATAAGCAAAGATAGTTTTACATGGTTGAGAAAAGCAATTGGTCTGATTGGTCAATTTTCAAGTTTCTTCCCCTCTAAAGCACAGAACCAAATATTTCAAAGTTCATAGTGAGATCCCTGACAAATAATTTTCATTTTGTACAAATCTGTGGACAAAATGTGTCGTCAATGAGACTACACAACTACAACTTGAACCTTACACATGTCACCATTACCTTCATTTGAACTCAGTTAGCAAGACTTAAACAATAATGTACTGTACAGACGGTACTTTATAAAAACTTAGTTCATCTCATTTAAATGAAAAGTAGGCACATCAACCATAGCAAGAAACAAATTCTTAATTCTTTAATTTCAATATTAGACAAAATCTCTTCCAATTCAGTATATTGATCAATTGATTAATTTCGACCTATTAGATTTCATAAGGTTGATAATGTAGTTTCATTGCTGATATTTATCATTGGTTTAGATGATTGGCACCGTTAGAGTTTTTTCTCTCAAATCTTGTTTGCGAAGTTAATAGAACGTTCTTATAAAAAAAATCAATAGGTACAAAATATGTCACGATGACCCTAGTAAATAAATCACGACAAGCTTATTTCAAAAGGAAAAAATCTGTCTAGGATTTGATTGTATTCAATACTGTCCATGTATTGTTGTGAATTGATCTTCAATGATGATTTCGTCTCAGTACCGTAAAAACATGGAATGGTTCTGTCTATACATGTAGCATTTAGCCACTTGACATTAAGCAGCCATAAATCAATCCTTAAGGAGTTAATTTGGATGGGTACGGGAAAATTTACATACCGATAAGAATTGATTTGGACACTTCTCCAAGAAACGTCGCATTTTTACTTGCTTTCAAAGGGTTGCTTGAATTGAAATATGATAGCAAATAGGAGTTTTGTAATAAGATAGGAACATTTTTTCAACTGAAAACTTGAACAAATTATACAATCATCTGGCCATATTGAATTAAACTTTGCCTAGTCGTATTCACGGGCTATCTATTCTATAATGGGACAACCATATCATTGTCTTTTCACAGCTGGAAATAAACAAGCTTATATTAGACAGGATAATAATGAATATCAGCGGTAAAAAATTAACATGCGTAGCAACAGATGGAAATGAGTAGTCAATCCTTAAAAATCGTCCTGCCCCCCCCCCCCCCCCCCTCGAATATCAAATTGTCGTTCCCTAATCATTTGATGACCAATGAGACACCAATTAAGCTACCTCCTAGTCAAAATAATAAATTGAGGTTACTTGATGAAAGCAACTAAAAACTTAATGTAAATTTGATATTAGTCTCCTTTGGTCTTGTTATATATCTTTCAACTTTTTCTTACGCTGTTTTGTTGTTTCGATTCT